CAGGTTCCTTGAGTTGAACACATGCTTTATCCAATAATATGTTTCAGGTACGCTCGTTTTCTCGAACTTCCCGCCGTGGCTATGACATTTGCTCCTACTATATTTGCAAATTGTACAGCTGCTAGTCCAACCCCTCCTGAAGCTGCATGAATCAGGATTGTATCGCCTTTTTTCATCTTGGCAACAATGTCCAGGCATAGATAAACAGTTAAGGCAACGGTAGGTAGATTGAAGCTTCATCATGAGTTAAAACCTTTGGTAACTTGCAGACCATCTATCACAGTTTAACTGCTTAGCGAGTTTTATCAAAGGATTAAAGTTTGTGACATATTAAAAAATGGTTGCTTACCTTCTCAGAGGTGATAACGTGTGAAGATAGCGCGACGTTTTGGCTATTATATCCAAACACCATGTCCCCAACTTGATAATTATGTACGGAAGTTCCAATTCGGCTAATCACTCCGGAGAAATCGCTTCCAATAATGTCTATGTTTTCAAAGGCTTTTGAAGGCTTTAGAACTGCGAAAATGTCACGAAAGTTTAGCGAATATGCATTCACTTTGACTTCCAGTTCGTTCACTTCCAGTTCCGAAATTGGTGGTATATCTACAAACTTTAGGTCTGAAATCAGATGTGAAGTTGGAAGCCGTAGGCAAAATGTGGGAGTACTTGGCAGATGAAGAAAGTTAGAAGGCTTAAGCTTCGTCAATTTTTGGGTTAGCCGAACTCCTTCTTTGTAGCAAATACTATTTCCGCCACTTTCGGCGGCTGAATTTTCAGAAATTTCGTGAATAATATTTTCAATATTCTCCTTACTTAAAGAATCCAGATCAATTAATTTACATTTTAGGGTAGAATTTTCGGATTTAAATGAACGAAACATTCCTATAAGTAAACCGGCCGTTGGCTGTTCGTCGGATTCCTCAACATTAATCGAGACACATTGTGTCCCCTTGGTTAGGAGCAATAGTTCCGACAAATTCATTGAGGATAACGTGATTGCTTGAAGTAGGTGAAACCACTTTTCAATTATCGACTGATCTAGCACAGTTTTCAATCCCCATGCAAAGATTATTCCGTCCGATATAGGAAAGTTCGATAAAATGTTCATGAATGCCTCCTTTGTGTTCCCATTCGTTTCAATATATTGGGCTGAAATGATTTCCTCCGCTCCAAGTATAATTAGTGTAACAGTTTCGCTGGATACGCTAAGTTGTTGCATTAAATCTTTTGTGAAGGTGTCATGAAATCCGAAAATCAGCCAGTTTCTTGGTTTTGAAAGTGGTTCAGAGACTTGTCCTCCCGTATAATTTTCTCTCCACTCCAGTTCATATACTGGACACTGGCTAATCGGATTGAGACTGGAATGAAGCTTTTCCTCTAGACTGGCCAAGCTTTGGGCAAGAACGTCAATTCCTTCCATTGATGCTAATATCTTGCCAGTTGAGTTGTACAAATGTACTGCTCCTGTCTCATAACATTTTTTGAGGTAGAAATGCAGGGACGAATCGTTTTCTGTATGTTTGTTCATGTTATAAACTGTAAGACGTCGAATGGCGACAGGAAGCATGATGGTACCTTCGATTGTTGCTCTTTTTTTCATGGACATTGCATGAAACTGTAGCATACTATCCAGCACAACAGGATGCAAGATGAATCTGGCATCTGGAAAACTTATACTTATAACCTGAGCAAACTATAGAACTAAATATGTTCGTTATGGATTTACCAAAGTCGGTCTGAACAAGTTTGGCTTTTGCATACTTGTTAAGTTTCTGATCTTCCCATCGGGACGTAATGCTTAGAAAGGATGGTCCAAAATTATATCCTTCTGTGGCGAAGTTTCTATACTGTTCTTCCATTGGGATTGATGAGGGTATTTCATTGTCCTCAAGTAATGGGAAGAGATCCTTCGCACATTTCAAATCCTGCGACCAAGACTCCTTAATCGTTCCTTGGGAATGTTGTAACCACGTGTCCGCATCTACAAGGGTAAAAATTTTAACTATGTTGCCCTCCAATACTGTATGATAAGTTGATTCCTTTTTTGTGACAAAGCTAGGGTTTTTAACACTAAAATTCTCAATCGTGAAGTGGTCCACATTTCTGGTGTCACTGTCTGGGGTCAGGTAACGTGACGCCAAAGTCATTTCTAGGAAGGCTGAGCCTGGCATTATAACGCATTGTCCGATGAGATGATCTCCCACCCATCGGTTTGAATCAACTGTTATTTTATTTTCAAATCTTTTGATATTCATTTCCGAAGCTTGAGGTTGTACCAGCTGTCTCCCTAATAGAGGATGAACGTCCTTCATTGAAGATGGGAAATAATCAGTTTCGTCTGATTTAAATGGAAACCAAAACGACTTCCTCTGGAAGGGATAGAACGGGAGGGACACTTTCTTCGCGTCATGTACTTGGTGAAAATTTGGAAAATCAATTGAAACCCCGCGAACAAACAAGTTTCCGATAGCTTCGAGGAACACCTCCAGCTCGTTGCCACCTCTCCTCATGGATTTGACGCATTGAGGAGCGAATGATAAATTTGAAATAATTAAACCTGAAAGGACCGGATGTGGACCGACTTCGAGGAATATATATTGTCGATCGGAATTATCCTCCTGGATTAGTTTTTCGATTGCTTCCATTGCTTGAATGAATTGGACTGGTTTTCTCAAATTCGAAACCCAATATTCTGGAGTTATGGTTGCCTTGTCGGTACCATCGACACAGGAAACGAATTTACAAGTTGGTGTCACGACGTCTTGTCTCAGGGTCATCAAAGTTTCTTTGAATTTATTGATTATAGAATCCAAAGCTCTCGAGTGAAATGGGTGGGAGGCATCTAAGATGGTAGATCTGACTCTATTGTTTCGACAAAATTCTGCAAAATCTTCAATTGCAGCAGGAGGTCCGGATATGGTAGTTTGTTGTTTCGAATTGCAGGCAGCAATATCAAGCCAAGCTGCGTTTGTTGTAGGCCGCTCCTTTAGAAATTTGCCAATTAGTGCTTGACATGCGTCGCTGTCAGCGCTAGCAGCCAACATTTTTCCACTTGGCAGTGTCTCAATTAGCTTGCACCGTGCTCCTACTATTTTCAATGCATCTTCAAGGGTTATCAGTGATGCGGCAGTGGCTGCAGCAAACTCCCCCAAACTATGGCCAAGTACAATTGATGGATGCACCCCAAGTGATACCCATAATTTAAATAGGGAGTACTCGATTGCAAAAATCGAACACTGAGAGTATAATGATTGCTTGAGACGACCGTTTGTTATCCCTTCTCCATAAAGTGCATCTTTAATGTCTAGTCCATACATTTTGAAAATTATTTGGAAACACAAATCGAATTGTTCCTGTAAATAAGTACAAAAAGTTTAGTAAGCATTATGACGAGTCTCATGGAAAATCTACTTACTTTAAAAACCGGAAATGTGTCATAAAGCTGGCTACCCATTCCTTTATATTGCGTCCCTTGTCCTGGAAATAGGAAGCATATCTTTGGTTCTTTCTGTACAATTCCACTTGACCAATTTTTCGTGTCTAATTTTTGCGCCAGTTCTTCGCTGTTTCTAGCAGTGATTGCAACTCTGTTGGAAAATTTTGCTCGCCCCACGTTAGCCGTGTAGGCGATATCACCTAATCTCATGTCTGTGTTGTACAACAAATGGGTCTTGTAATTGTCAACTAGTTCTGACAAAGCCGCTGCGGATTTCGCAGAAAGTGTTAGAATATTGATCTTCATTCCCGAACCAAATGTATGCTCATTACATATCGATTTAGGAGGTTCTTGTAAAATAATATGTGTGTTAGTCCCAGTAAACCCGAATGAATTTATTCCAGCAACTTTTGGCTTATCAAATCCAGGACACCAAGGCATACTACCAGCTGAAGGTATAATGGCAGGGATAGTTGTCAAATCAATTTCTGGATTTAAGGTTTGAATTGCGATTTGCACAGGAATCAGGCCATGTCTCATGGCCATTGTGATCTTTATGAGTCCTGCAATGCCGCATGCGCTTTCAGTATGGCCAATGTTTGCCTTCCCCGCAGTTATGATCAGTGGATCTGTTCGATCAGAGGTGGAGTAGGCGTTTGATATTGCCTTGATTTCAAGCGGATCCCCCTTAGCGGTTCCAGTCCCGTGTGCCTCAACAACTTGGATTTGTTCTGGCCTCATACCTGCATCACGCAAGGAAATTCGCATTGCCAACGTTTCCATTTCAATGGTTGGTGTCCCCACGCTTTTGGTTTCGCCTTCCTGTGCTGCACCAAACCCCATAATGACGGAATGAATCCTGTCCCCATCTCGCACTGCGTCACTTAGTCTCTTCAAAATAAGGGCAGCAATACCCTCTGCCCTCGCAAATCCGTTAGCAGCGGCATCAAATGTTTTACACCTATATTCCTTTGATAGGATGACGTCATTCTGGAAGGTGGGCTTGATAATAAGGTTTGCAGTGGTGGCGATTGCGAGATTGGACGCCCCACATCTTAGATCTTGTATCGCCTGACCTACCGCAACAAAGGAAGAAGTGCACGCCACCTCAGTTGTAAGGTTGGGACCTCGTGTCTTATAAATGTGTGCCAATCGTGCCGATCCTGATGCAAAGCTGTTTCCCATGTACCATCTGAGCTCACCGGTAGAAAGAGGTGCAAATTTTTGTATTAGCTCGTTATAGTCTTGTGTCCAACACCCTGCATAAATTCCGGTCATACTACCAGCGAGAGACTGCGGGTTGATGCCTGCATCCTCTAATGCTTCCCATGAAACTTCAAGTAGAAATCGTTGTTGTGGATCGGTGAAGTTACATTCGGCTCGACTCATTTCAAAAAAATCGCCGTCAAATTCGTCCACGGGAAAAGGTACAAAGCCGCACTCCATTACACTCTTCCCCATATTACCAACTTGCTCAGAAGTCCAACGTTCATCAGGATGTGGCCGTATTGCACATTTACCGTCAAGATATGTCTTCCAGTATTCGTCCACGCCGTTGGAATCAGGCATTCGACATGACATTCCAATAACGGCGACGGGTTCGGCAGCAGTTCCGGGTTTACAGTAAGGCGTTTGTTTAATTTTACTTCGAAACTCAAACAAGTCCTATCCAAAGAAACACGCTAGCATATTATAGAAAATTAAACATACAATGTATGTAAGTTTTTCACCTTCACTCTATCCGTTGTTTGTTTGCTTGATTCTCCAAGAAAAACAATTTTTGTCGATGGCTCAAGTTCACTGTTAATGTATTAAATTAAAATGATATTGAATCGTTGTTTATAAATTCCTAGGTACACGACATAAAACTCACAATTCTCCTTTTTTCATATCAGTGACAAATTGTTTCTTCAAATATACCGCCCTCGAATCATTAACCAACGCATCTTTTAGTTTATGAAAGGTTCGTCCAGATTCCAGCTCTAACAATTATGTTTGTATTTTAGCACATGATTTCTGTACAGACCATAGCAATATAAATTACCATTCTTCAAACAATTAAACAGGTACCCAGAAGCATTTGGGCAAAGGGGCAAGATAAACAATCCCGTTCCAAAAACAATTTTGGCAGGATCGTACGAAAATAGAGAGTCTGCATTTTTAAAAACCTGTGCAAGATTGTAGTTTATATGTATGTATGTATATATTGTAAATTTACCATCTGCATGAATAATTTAGAGAAATGTACATATATTTTTTAAACAGTATAAAAAGCATGCACACATACATTATTTTTATCAAATTACCAATGCTGAAGGGTCAATCAAACAAATCCGGTCAAAGTCCAAAATTGTTGCGCAAGTGAGCATGAGTTGACTCCAAAAATCCACTTTTAAGCCCGGAAATCTTATCAGTTGAACCATATCGTCAAACTGGTTAGCCAAATTGGTCCTAAAATCAGGTTAGAGACACATTAGAATTGTTCGATAAAACTAAATCAGTACTGCATTTGCTGATGGGTTTAGTTAAAATTGTGTGCTATATTCGTACGCTTATAAATTATTTATAAAAAAATCAAAGATCAGGTTAGCCAAAGTAATAAATAATTTCTGAAAATAATGGCTTTCACGAGAAAACGACATTTTAGTTTACGGAAATATAAAAACCTAACACTTACCAAGAGTCGATTCCAATTTCAGAATCGTACAAAATCAAAACCTTTTTAAAGGTTTTAGTTTCCTTGATGGATTTCAGCAAAATTAAGGCTTCTTCCACCTCACCCGTGTTGCGGGCAAATGTTGCGTACGCTTCTTTTTCCATTTTCCGAACAGCTTTAACTCGGTGAATATTTTTGTGAAAAATATGCACGAAAATATTTGGAATGATTGGTTTTGAAGTTTATTTCGAGTGAATTCAAAGTTATATTGCAAGAATGGCCCGACGTACTAATCGGATCCCGTATTTATTCAAAATTCCAAGGTTGAGCCGGTGACTTTTACACTTTTATTTAATACTTGCCAACTTAACCAAGGTCGCGAAAGGTGTGAAGTGTTATTTAAAAATTAAAATTAATTAAAATTTATGAAACTCAACTTGAGTAGAACGATTCATGTTCTTTTTAAATAAAAATGTGGATGAATACATACAATCTTAAAAATATTGTACTTCTTCTGCTAAATGTGCAAGCGCAGTTCGTATTAGGCAAACGATACCAAGTTCCGAGTAAATTTTGTTCTTTATCAAGTTACTCTGAATTTAGTATAGTTTACTTAATACAGAATTTTGAGTGGATTTACTTTTTAAAAGCATTGCAGTATTTTTTGGAGTGTATGAATAGGTCAGGATTTGGTATTTTTATTATTCAAATTTAAGGTACTATGTTTATTATTCAGTTTATATATTATTTTTATGTATTTATGTAACTTGCATTAAGCAAATTATATGCAAGGGTTCCGGATTTATGTTTACTCCCAGGTACGAATGATGCACCAAATCCATGTGCAAATTTGTAAATCACAGAGAAAGATATTTGTTTTCTGGCAAACATTGACGATCTGCATGAAATGATTGTCTTGCATTTTCATGCAATGCATTTTTCATGTGATGGCGCATCCCGTGCAACACTGGGGACTACGTCAACGTGTAATTTGTAAATTTTTAGTCACGGTCTCGTTAATGCTTTAATTTGTATTCTTATTCAACCCTGGAATTTCCAACAACACTGGAAATCGCGAAATATTAATACATACAAAGCAATGTAGAAACCCCAGGCTACATTGCATTTGTTGGTGTTCAAAAAAATTATTCTCATAGTTCGCGTGTAGTAGATTAATATCTATAATGGTGGACGATTATGACCACCCTTTACACAAACATAGTTGGGGTAGCTCCAAGTAAACAGTAAACGCACGGAAAGAAGTAGCCTTCGGTTTGACTTCACTTCGCCCCAATTATGTATGCCCAAGATATTGCGGGGACACTTAATTTTAGTGAGAGAATCACGATTCGAAAACATGTCATTGTAACCACACCCCCTGACCTCTTACCTCTGACCTCTGGTTGTCTGATTTACCGTAAAAGTTGATACGATCCTCCCGATGGGGTCATTATTTCGTTATCCCTCTGACGGACAAACTAGCATATGGACAGACAACCAAAGTTTGCGCATAAAGAAGCTTATACAATAAACCTTACCAAACGACTCAAGAAAAGTTTCCCTTCGAGTCCCCCTTCACCCCAGCCATTACAAGTACAGCGCGGGAATAATTTATTCCACTCTAATGCAATCTAGTGGGTGAATGTCTGCAAAAATTTCATTTTGCCCCGACCACACCCGCGGGGGGGGGGGGGGTGGCCCGGTTAACCCCGAAAGTTGATACTATCCTTCCCCTGGGGTCATATGTATGATGCCGCAAACCGATTTTCCTTCCTCCATTATCCTGCTGAGGACAGACGGACAGACAGACACAGTCTTCGCAAAAAGTAGCTGAAGCAACTTAACCAGTAAATCGGAACATCTGCATAGGTGGTTATCTTATATGGTATGTTGTACATACGTCGTAAAAATGTGAGGTGCTTAATTATTTGCTTAATTAGGCTAATCTGATGTCCCTCTTTGCGTAATTACTGTGAGCCACAAACTGTATGAACCAGACAGGTGGTAAAGCAAAACAGGGTCGGTGGGGAACCACGTGATAAAAACTTGAATATTTGCCATAATGTAGAATATTAAACATTCATTTCGTCTACGTTGGGTGTGTTGTTGTACGTTATGCAAATAAAGTCGTAAAACTCTGAGTTGCTTAATTAGCCTAATCTCGTGTCCATCTTTGCCTTATTACGTAGTTATGACGCACAAAGTTTGTGCATGAAACAGAGGACAAGAAACCACGTGAAAAATTGAAACTTACGTAATTTTGAAAATAAACCATTAGTAAATTTTGTTTCTATACAATTTTTTAAATTATGGCTAGGTTTCCAAATTTTGTGGTTATCCACACACCCTTTTTGCAATTTTTTATGTACTTATGTATTTTTAATTTTATGATTTTTAATTCGTTTATTGTGGCCAGTTTGTCTAACAATTGGGACACCTATGTATGTATCAAATTTGTGCTCACATTTATGTACGTATCTGTCAATAGTTAACAACATTTATGAACGGCCCCTCATTTATTAAAACAAAAGTGTATTCGACTAGCATGCACTTGTTAATGATTTTTAATTCGCTCATCTCGATAAGTTCACCGAACAATGTAAGTATGTAAATATGTTCGCATTTCCATTTATTTAAACATTGCATTCAATGTGTAACCGATAACAATCAAACATCACACCACCCAAAAAGGATGTACCTGAAACGTATTTATACACAATTGCCTAAAGTTGGCAAGCGTAACTATTTATGTATGTACATAAGTAAGAATCAGCAACAAAGTTTACGCCAGGTTTTGCCGTCCGTCTTCTTAATGAGGGAACGTTCATAAATTATGTCACGTAACAAATTCCGATTGTTCAGATACACCCTCATAAAGCATGTGGCCCAAATCGACCTTATCACGCTAAAATTCTACTCGCCATCTCATCTTAGCCGTGACATAATTTATGGACGTCCCCTCAGTAAATATTATGCAATTGTGTACGACCGGTTTTGCAGTCATAATTTTCCGTCGCAGTAAATAATCGTACTCTTATTTATTTAGTATCTACAGTTGTGTTTCTGGAGAAGATTTGGAAGGGTAAACATTCCTTTACAGACGCAACAAGAGTACGATTTTTCGCCATGTTCGCGCAGGTGGTGGTCGATCCGGAGGAGGGTGTTGCGGAAAACGCCCGGGCAAAATTGGCAAACGCACTCTGAATTTGCAGTCTGCAAAAATTTAAAAAAAAATTGTACGCACTAACGACACTAATTTTAATTTAAATCTAATGTCTTTTACAACTTTCTTTGAAAAATGGAGTCAAACTGAGCATGCTCCCGACAACGTATTACAATTATTTAGCATCGAAACTCAACAAAAAAACTTGCGCACAAGAAAATCTGTATAACTAGACGATTTCTGAAGTATGACGTCGCAAATTTCGAAGATCAGCTATTGTTTTGCACATATTTTGGCCTTGTTTTCACAAATTTCTATAATTTCTCTCGTTGGTGCTGAATTTACGAACCAATTTTTCGTAATCAGAACATGTCCATTTACGGGTAGAAAACAATATTCCCGCCAGAGTTAAAACTCTTGCTGGAAAACCGTATTGAAAATTTTACTCTAGTTCCCAATATTGCGAAATCTTCCAAAACTTCGCAATTTTCATATTTTGCTGTACTAAATTTACGAACCTTGACGTGAGGCTGGTCAGTAAATCGCATCTCAGATATACAATTATACAAATTTGCTTACTATTTTAGGGGATTCGCAACTCTCCAAATGGGTCACCCAAACAGCTTCCGAGTCAATCTTGGTCTCACATTCATACGGACAGGACGTCTTGTCCGAAAAATGGACCAATTCCACGTGCTCAGGCATGCTTGCCTTCCTGACGAAAGTCTTGGAGCACATGTCACAAGGAAATCGTGTCATTTGCAAACGCGGTCTGGGCGGCATTGGGGCATTGTGAAATTCCTTCATATCGCTTTTAAGCGATATCGATTTTAAGCGATTTGAAAATTCAAAGCATCCTCGCGACTAAACACGCTCAGACATAAGGTGCAATTCCTCTTAATCCCGCCATTTCGGCTATGAATGTGGTCGATTAAGGCGGCCAAAGTCGTGAAACGCTCATCGCATTCCAGACAACAAGCAGCTTTCGGATTTTGAGCTTCACATCTGTAAAAAATAGAGATTTTGAGGTTTATATCTGCATACAGAATTAAGATTTTTTGTAAAAACACTAAAACAGTAGGGGAGGATTTGATAAGACACGGTATGTGCGCATCACAATTAGCCTTGAAGATCGCGAAATATAGATTTTCACTCACCGCTCTCCCGCCTTTTTGGAAGCTATGAAAAAATTCTTTGATATACATATATAGTGTGCTCAATAATTTCGAGAATTTTTTCCCGCGTTCATATTACGATAACCAGTTACTTAAGATAAAAATTAAGTTGGATTCAAACTAGAAAGGTACATAAGTTTATGGCTAACAACATACTATATATGAGAAATTTTTGGCAGGTTGTGTAGTTTTCGCGATATCGGCATAGACAACCTGACGTGGCACAAAAATTTTCACCTTTACTACCTGGTTTTCAATATTTCAGAACTCAAAGGAATTATACGATCAACAGTGTATGACATCATGAAATATTACCCTGAGGTATCCTCCCTTACTGGCAGAAAATGATCCGGCCAATCTCCCACAGGAAGGCATAAACCACAATGAAAGCACTAAACATGCGAATTTTTAGAAATTCTCGCCGATCTCAAAAGAGTTCGAAACTACAATTGCAGGTTTCGCACGAGATTGTTCAAATGCCACTTTTAGAAGACCTTAGGGTTCCCCCAATAGGTCGATCCATATACTATATTTTGACACGTCAGTTGGAGAAGAATAAAGTAATCGGATTCCGAGTACTTATCCAGAGGCACGGTAGGAAAAATTACAAAAATATCATCTTAAGGAATCCTTTAGCAAAGAGGGTTATTTACCAGACCAGACTAGTTAGATAACTTAATTAAGAGCGTATATTTATGTAAATACGTTGTGTTGAAAAAGAAAAATATATTGTTTGTGTATTAGGATTATGACCTGTTGCTGAATAGTAGAAGGTTCATAATACTATGAACCAAACACATTTAGATTCATACTAATCCGTATTCACGACAAATCCAAAAAATTAAACGAAGGTTTATGAAATTTGGTAAATTTAATCGCAAAACTTTTAATTCGACAAGTGGATAATTCGTTTTTTACCAATATCTACTAATCACAAGCACAACCTTAACTCTTGTGTTCTGGCTTTGTACTTTTTTTCGTAAGTTTATCCTGCGTTCCCAAAAAACATGGGGAAGAGTAAAATCGGCACCCATTATTAAATTAAGGTGCAAACATTAAAAGAGGTGACTATTCTTTCCTGCTGGTCAAACAAAATCCCTCCTCCTGGAACTCGTTCGGGTTCATGTGATCGTAAAGTTACGGATTATTTCTCAACTTACATATGTACATGTAAAGCCCATTTAATCGTTAATTTAACGTCACATGATCGCCTTACGAGCTCACTGAGGAGGGATGATAGGTGACAAGTAGGCGTGAATTAGCCTCTTCTATTAATGTTCGTACAATACTTAGACCATAATTATCAAAGGACTCCGTTGATTATACTAGATTTTATAATTACAAAGGATTGTATTTGATTAAAATTTTCATGATTTTCTATAAAAGAAATTATTTTTCAACCAGTTTCATCTCATTGGAAACGAGCTAACAAGCTGATCAGAGTTAGCTTTAGGCTTTTAATTACAATTATTTGGTATTTATTTACATAATCAAGGGCAGGCTACATATGTACTATGAAGGTACACACATAGATTAGTTGAATATGATAGCATATGAATATATGCTTAGGTCACGTGTTCCGTTAGCTTTGGAGTATATGTAACAACAATTGCAATGCTTATATCTTATATCGAAAAGAGGAATAACGAGTTGCGGAAGTATGAAAGTGAACAGGTATGTAAACTGTACGACGTTAGCGTCTTTGGTTCTAAATTATGAAAATATGCATGTTTGCAACTGTAAAATCTTCCTAAGTTCGTGAATTCTGCATAAGTGCTAAGATAAAACACTAACCTTGGATATAACAAAGTTCATTGTTTTTGTAGTGCCGGTTTTTGGGAAGATCGTAAAGAAAATTGCATGACATGCATGGTTATAATATCGAAAATAATATTTAATAAAACAGCATTTCCCACCAAATTTAATGACATTTAATTTTTCAGAATTTTCATTTACATACTTATTTGTATATTTATGTGTATCATAGAATGAAATTTCTTTTATACATCATCACAAAACATATACTAACTGAGATAGTACTTAATTAATTTAGTTAGTATGTTTACCTACCGTGTACTCATGACCAAATTTAAGCAATGATTTATCAAAACAAATGGGAATTTATAGTGCATTTTAACAAACTTTAAATTTTCAATACTACTGATAAAATAGATATGTATCTAGTCCAATATATTAACTACTAAACCCAATAAAACTGATATCTGTGTCACTTAGGTAATTTTGTACTGTGCGTAATCCGATGTGCTTAATTAAATCATTGTAGGTTTTTTTTTACAAATTATTGCAAATTTTGAAAAAAAAACTTACAGTTTCTTTCAGATGTCTACCTGTTTTGGCGAGTCCTTAGATTCAACAAGTTTCGAGATGAAATTAACCAGGCTGTCAAGGTCCTCGCTATCAGCAAATTCGTTCAGACTCATCTGCACATTTGGGCCAAGTAAGGTGGATATTTGGTTCTTAATCTCAATCATCATTAATGAATCCAATCCAAGCTCAGAAAATTTGCGATTGATCCCACTGTTTGGCTCCAATTGAAGAACTGAAGATATCATCCTTTCGATATGGTTACGAATGACGGAACAACGATCAATTTTGCCATTGCAGGCTTCAAGCTCTACCCAAAACATTTCGGTGGTGACCAACTCAACTTTCTTTATCAAATCCATTTTTCTCTTTTGGCTGCCCTCTGAATCCAGTATATTTAGTAAAAAGTTTTCAATCCAAGGAATTCGTTGCATCAATTTGGGAACATTCATAGCAACTGGGCAAAGTTGGTTCGAATTTGACTTTAAGGCAATTTCTAAAGCATCCAGAGCTTGTTTCGTGGACATTGGGTGAAGGCCGGAAATATGTTGCCCGGCAGCAAGCCCGACTTCGGCCCAGTGACCAAAGTTCAAAGAAATCGCTGGAAGACCTAAAGCGTATCGGTAATGGGAGAGTGCATCTAGGAACGCATTAGCGGCTGCGTAATTCCCTTGTCCAGGGGTTCCAATTAGTGAAGAAATCGAAGAAAAGAGTACAAAATGCTGGAGATCTAAATGTTTAGAAAGTTCGTGCAGATTCCATCCTCCATGAAATTTTGGGTTGAGAACTTTGTCTAATGATTCTTTTGTCTGATTGACGAATGCGGCGTCCGATAGGACTCCAGCACAATGAAATATCCCTCTAAGTGGTGATTGGGGGAATTGCTCCTTTATCCAGGAAAATACGGATTCGCAGTCAGACAGCTCGCTTACGTCGCCACGCCTCCAAATTACATTGTAACCTAGATAAATAAATTAATGGCGTGGTAATGGAAAATGAAATGTATTATTCCGACACTAAATAAGCTCACCACGATTTTGAAGATCGTTAATCTCGTCTTGGCGTTCCAAAGTTGGAATACTTCTGCTCATCAAGATAATCCGATTTGCGCCACTTAAGAGCATCCATTTCATCAATTCCCACCCAATTCCGCCTAGCCCACCAGTAATGAGATAGCTGCTTTTGTCACTAAACAGTGTATTATCTCTACCAGGCATACTAACAACAACTTTCCCAACATGTTTAGCCTTTTCCAGGAAATGCATTGCGTCAATAATTTGCTGGGAATGGAAGCGAATGTAAGGTATTGGCTGCAATAATTCCGTTGTAGCATTTTTTAGATGAGATATTAGTGTTGAATTTTCGACTGAACATCTAACGTCTTCAATCGAGTATTTAACATCTGGTCGAAGTGAGAGGCATTCTTCTTCTGTCCAAATGTTGATTTTACTCATTTCGATGAATCTAAAAAATCAATCAAATACTGCAGACTTACAATGCTCATGTCAGACTTGTTGCACATATATCTTCTTAAAATCAGAGATAAAAAATTAACGAGCTCAACACAGACCAGAGTTTGTGTCGCACTTGAGCATTTCTGCGGTATTCACAGAATGGAAAAATTTTTAGTTTGGTAAATACGCGCATATTCACCATGCGAAAATTTACGGAGTTCACCTCCCCGCTGTCTGATTTTCATCAGTTTCAGTTTTTTTTAAGTTATTTGTCGGAGTTTTGATTTTTGGATTTAAAATATTTTTTTGGTACGGATCAATATTTAAAATATCTAAATTTAACAAACTTAAACTGAATTAACTTACTAACTAAATTTTCGGTGGTGGTTTTAAGAAAATCAATGAGAAACATATTTGACTGGTGCATTGATAGGAATATATTGCAAACATATGGGATACCTTCCCCCCTTCCTAAGACAGTTTAGTGAAGCTTCCTTGAATCCAGGCCCAGTCAAAGAGTTAAGAACGATATCGACTCCAGCTCGATCGGTTGCAGAATTTACGTCAGATTCGAATGACAAGTTCCTCGAGTTGAAGACATGTTTTATTCCAATAATATGCTTCAGGTACGCTCGCTTCCTCGGACTCCCAGCTGTGGCTATGACATTTGCTCCAACTCTATTTGCAACCTGTACAGCGGCTAATCCAACCCCTCCAGAAGCTGCATGAACTAGGATTGTGTCGCCCTTTTTCATGTTAGCAATAATTTGCAGGCATAGATAAACGGTCAAGCCAACAGTGGGTAAAGTGGACGCTTCTTCATGGGTTAAAAACTGAGGTAACGTGCAAACCATCTGTAGGAATTTAAACACCAAGCGGCTTTTAACAAGAGAATAAAATTTGGGCCATATTTCTAAAAAGTTATGTTTTTACATTTTCAGAGGTTGTAACATGGGATGATATCGCCACGTTTTGTGCATGGACTCCAAAGACCATGTCCCCAACTTGATATTTATCTACCGAATTTCCAGTTCGACAAATAACCCCCGAAAAATCGGTTCCAACAATATCTTCTTTCTTAAAGGCTTCTGATGGTTTTAGCACTGCGAAGATGTCCCGAAAGTTTAGCGAATAAGCACTAACCTTAATTTCAAGTTCGTTGTCCCCCAAATTTACAGCTGGCTGCATATCTATGAACTTTAGATCTGAAACCAGATTTGAAGTGGGAAGTTGAATTCGAAATCTGGCAGTGTTTGGTAACTGTAGGAAATTGGAAGGTTTAAGCTCCATCAATTTTTGACTCAGTCGAACCCCATCTTTGTAGCAAATACAATTTCCACTACTTGCGGCGTTTGGGTTCTCGTTGATTTCATGAATAATATTTTCAACATTTTCGTGATTGAAGAAATCTAGATCAATTAACTTGCAAGTTAGCATGGAATTTTCGGATTTAAATGAACGCATCATTCCTCCCAGTAAAGCCGCGGATGGTTTTTTCTCTGCCTGTTCTGCATTAATCGAAACACATTGCATCCCTTGCGTTAGAAGCAATAATTTTGACAAATGCATGGGTGATAAAGCTATTGCTTGAAGTAGGTAAAACCATTTTTCAATTATTGAATGATCGAACACCGACTTCATTCCCCAGGCAAAGATTACTCCTTCAGATTCAGGAAATTGTGAGAAGATGTTCAAGAATGCCTCCTTGCTATCCCCCATGGTTTCAATATATTCCGTTGTCATTATTTCCCCCGACCCAATTGTAATTAATACAACGGTTTCTCCGGCTATGCTGAGTTGTCGGATTAAGTCTTTTGTAAAGGTGTCATCCAATCCGAAAATCAGCCATGTTCTATGTTTTGGCGCACCGTCTGACGAAATTAGCTTAGTCGTTGGTGCTGAAATCAAATCCTTACGCCACTCCAATTCAAATAATGGGCACTGCCTAGTCCGATTTAGACTGGACTGCGGCTTTTCGTCCAAACTTGACAATGTGGTTGAAATCAGGTCAATTCCCTCCAATGATGCTAACGGCTTGCCCACAGAATTGTATAAATGTATTATTTCTGATTGACGACATTTCTTGAGGTAGAACTGTGAAGGCAAATCAGTTGGTTGGTTATCTTGATTCATGTTGTAAACAGAGAGGCGTCGAATTGTAACAGGAAGACCGATGGTACCCGGGGGGGACGGGTTTTCGATTGACATGATGAAAAACTGTAGCATACTGTCTAATATAACGGGATGCAAGATGAATCTTCCATCTGAAATATTAATTATTCATATTTCTAGAAAGTCTTATAAGTATGCAAATCAAGTTCCTCGTTTTGCATTTACCAACTATGGCCGGATCAATGTTGCCTTTTGCACACTTGTTTAAGTTCTGATCCTCCCAGACGGACGTAATGCATTGAAAGCATGGTCCAAAATTATATCCATCTGAGGTTAATTTTTCGTAGGGTACTACCCTTGAGCTTGATGGTGGGGTAATGTCTCGTTCAAATAGTGGTAGGGCATCTTTACTGCCATTCCCATCCTTTGACCAGGACTCGTTAATTGTACCTTGGGAATGCAATATCCACACACCCGTGTCGACCTGGCTGAAAATTTTAACCATAGCTCCCTCTAATACAGTGTGATAAATTGATCCTTTCTTTCCTAGAAAACCCGGGTTTTGAATACTAAAATTGTCAATTGTAAAGTTTCTAGTGTCATTGTCAACTAGCGTTAAGTAGCGCGACGCCAAAGTCATCTCGAGGAACCCTGCGGCTGGCATCATTGCATTTTGTCCGATACAATGATCTCCTATCCATTGGTTGGACTCGGTGGAGATTATATTTTCGAATCTCTCGACACTAATTTCAGATTTCTCAGGTTGTTCTACCCGTCTTCCTAATAATGGATGCACCATGTCCTTTATCGTAGACGGGCAATCATGAGTTTCATCAGATTGGAAAGGAAACCAAAACGACTTTCTCTGGAATGGATAGAACGGTAGGGATACTTTGTTTGTGTGATGAACTCGATGAAAATTCCCAAAGTCAACCGAAACTCCGTGAACAAACAGGCTACCAAGAGCGTCGAGGAATACTTCTAGTTCGTTGCCACCTCTCCTCATGGATTTGATACATTGAGGAGCAAATGCTAAGTTGGAACGAAGTAAGCTTGAAAGGACCGGATGTGGGCCGATTTCGAGGAAGATGTACTGTCGACCAGAATCATCACGTTGTATTTGCTTTTCGATTGTTTCGGTTGCTTGAAGGAATTGGACTGATTCTCTTAAATTTGAAATCCAATACTCTGAAGTTATTGTTGCTTTGTGAGTACCATCCACACAAGAAATGAATTTACAAGTTGGTGTCTCAGCCGTTTGGTTCAGGGTGACTAAGGAATCTTTAAATTTATTAATAATAGAATCCAAAGCTCTCGAGTGAAATGGGTGAGAGGCATCAAGTATTGCAGTTCTTACTCCATTGTTAACACAAAATATTGCGAATTCATCGATCGTAACAGATGGTCCGGATATGGTAGTTTGTTGTTTGGAGTTGTATGCAGCAATATCCAACCAGTCTGCGTTTGTAGTAGGTCTTTCCTTTAAAAATCTAGCAATTAACGCCGTACAGGTGTCGCTGTCAGTCCCTGCAGCCAACATTTTTCCAGCTGGCAGAGTCTCAACTAGCTTGCACCGTTTTCCAATTATCTTGATGGCATCTTCAAGAGTTATTAGTGAGGCGGCGGTTGCTGCAGCAAACTCGCCTAAACTATGGCCAATGACAATTGATGGATGTACCCCAAGTGATGCCCATAATTTAAGCAGACAATATTCTATTACAAAAATTGACCACTGAGCGTACAATGTTTGCTTGAGATGACCGTTTGGTATTTTTTCTCCATAAAGCGCGTGTTTGATGTTAAGTCCATACATATTGAGAATTAGTTGGAAACACAAATCAAAATGCTCCTGAAAATATGTAAGGAAATAAGGTTTAGTTAATGGAAGCATGGGAACGAGTATCAAGTAACACGTATCAAATTTAACTTACTCTAAAAACGGGGAACGTGTCATAAAGTTGTCTACCCATTCCACTGTATTGAGTTCCCTGTCCTGGAAATAGGAAGCAGATGTTTGGTTCTTTCTGAGTAGTTCCACTTGACCAGTTTTTCGTATCTAATTTTTGTACCAACTCTTCATTGTTTCTAGCAGTGATTGCAACTCTGTTAGAAAATTTAGCTCGCCCAATATTAGCCGTGTAGGCGATGTCATCCAATCTCATGTGTGTGTTGCTCGACAAGTGGGTCTTGTAATTGTGCACAAGCTGTGACAAAGCCTCTTCCGATTTGGCAGAAAGTGTTATAATATTTCTCTGCATAGTCGAATCCGTTGTATTCTCAATATATATTGATTTAGGAGCTTCTTGTAAAATAATATGTGTGTTAGTGCCAGTAAAGCCGAATGAACTTATTCCCGCAACTTTAGGGGTATCAAATGCTGGGCACCAAGGCATACTACCAGCTAAAGGTATAATGGCAGGAATAGTTGTCAAATCAATTTCTGGATTTAAGGTTTGAATCCCAATTTGTACTGGAATCAGGCCATGTTTCATGGCCATTGTAATCTTTATTAGCCCGGCAATGCCGCTTGCGCTTTCGCTGTGGCCGATATTTGCCTTCCCAGCCGTTATGATAAGGGGATCTGCCCTATCCGAGGTGGAGTATGATTTCGATATGGCCTTGATTTCAAGCGGATCCCCCTTAGCCGTTCCAGTTCCGTGTGCCTCCACAACTTGTATTTGTTCGGGCTTCATTCCTGCATCACGCAACGCTAGTCCCATTGCTAGTGCTTCCATTTCAATGGTGGGTGTCCCGACGCTTTTAGTTTCTCCGTCCTGTGTTGCACCGTAACCCATAATGACTGAGTGAATCCGGTCTCTATCTCGTACTGCGTCACTCAATCTCTTCAAAATAAGGGCTGCGATACCCTCGGATCTCGTGAATCCGTTAGCAGCGGAATCAAAAGTTTTGCACCTGTGGTCCTTGGATAGGACGACATCATTCTGGAAGGTGGGCTTGATAATAAGGTTTGCACCTGTCGCAATTGCAAGATTGGACGCCCCACGTCTTAAATCTTGTACTGCTTGACCTACCGCGACAAAGGATGAGGAACACGCAACCTCAGCTGTAAGGCTGGGGCCTCGTACCTTGTAAATGTGTGCCAATCGTGCCGATCCTGATGCAAATCCGCTTCCCATATACCATCTCAGGTCACCGGTTGGTCGAGGTGCAAACGTTTTTATTAGGTCAAGATAGTCCTGTGCCCAACATCCAGAATATATGCCGGTCATGGTACCAGCCAGACTCTGCGGATTTATGCCTGCATCTTCCAGTGCTTCCCATGAAACCTCCAGCAGAAATCGTTGTTGGGGATCGGTGAAGTTACATTCGGCTGGGCTCATTTCAAAAAAATCGCCATCAAATTCCTCCACTGGGCAAGGTAGAAAGCCACACTCTATTTTGCCCTTATCGCTTGTACCAATTTGCTCAGACATCCATCGACCTTCAGGATGAGGCCGAATTACACATTTGCCGTCCAGAAATGTCTTCCAGTATTCGTTCACGCCGTTAGAATCCGGCATTCGGCATGAGATTCCAATAACGGCGATGGGCTCGGCAGTACTTTCCGATTTGGAGTAGGGAAGTAGTTTAATTTTATTTCGAAAATCAAACAAGTCCTAGTTAATAAAGTACACTTATATATCAAAAAAATTCATGCAAAAAAATGCAAAGTTACCTTGACTCTATCTGTTGTTTCGTGGATGGATTCTCCAAGAAAAACAATTTTTGTGGGTGGTTCAAGTGAACTAATTAAATATTTAATTTAAATTGATAATAAATTATAATTAATAAATTCCTACTCAAGTATATAAAATAATACTCACAATTCTGGATTTTTCAAGTCAGCCAGAAATTGTTTCTTAAAATACACCGCCCTTGACTCATTAATCAACACATCCTTCAGTTTATGAAATGTGGGTTCAGATTCCAACTCTACAATAATATTCGAATTTTTAGTGTATACTTCATTACAAACAATACAATTATACATTTTCTACCATTCTTCAGATAATCAAACAGGTACTCAGAGGCATTTGTGCCAGGTTGCAAGATAAACAATCCAGGCCCAAAAACAATTTTTGCAGGATCGTGTGAAAAAAGTGAGTCAGCATTTTTCAAAACCTGTATGTATATATATTGTATAAGTAGTATATTGAAATTTGATTAATAATTACAGAAAGAAAGTTACTTAATTTGCTGATATATATTTTTAAGGTGCCATAGTAAAAAAACATGCATAAAGACAATATTTTAATCAAATTACCAATGCCGAAGGCTCAATCAAGCAAATCCGATCAAAGTCCAAAAGTGTTGAGCAAGTGAGCATGAGCTGACTCCAGAAATCCACTTTGAGTCCAGGAAAGCTTATCAGTTGTACCATGTCGTCAAACTGGTTGGCCAACTTTTTCCTAAAATTAAGTTATTGAAGTTTTAGAAGTAAGATGCCATAATTTTTCTGTGTTTGACGAAAACAAAACAGGGCTGAAATTTATAATTCATTTTCTCTTGTCTACAAAAAAAGACAGAGGAATGGTTAAAATTGTGGTGAGTTATGTTTTAAATTATGTTACTATGTTGTACATTCCTAGCAAAAATGAACTTAATATTTAAATTTTAACTTATTCATTAATTAACCGGATCTGCAGTACATTTCCTGTCGGTATTCAACACCGCAAATTTTAAATTGTTCCCGCACTTTTTTTCTACTTTTCAATTTTTAATTGAATTTCAGCTAAAATGATTACTTTTTCATAAGATAAATCAAAAGCCCAGAATAACAAAAAAATATCGATATTGCATCCCCAAATAAAAAAAAACACGTTTCTAAAACCTTTGACATTTTAAAGCTTCATGGTTATGTACATATTTTTAATTTTGACTTGACAAATGCGGAAAAGTTAAATTTTTGAAGATTAACTTTTTCGGAAGTCGATTTAAAGAATACTGAATTTTAATTTTTTTAATCGGGTTAAACTTGTAGCTTTTAGGACCTTTTGACATCTTGGTCTCTACACCCGGCTGGAGACCAGGGTATGCTACCCCGGGTTTCTGGGATATTGATGGGTTTTGTGTTAACAAATTTGAGCAATACCCGGGTAGTCAGGCTACTCGGGGTAGTCGGGGTTTTCAAATTTAAAAAAATTGCATAGTATTTTAAAGGAACATGTAACTGATAATTTTGTAAATTTATTAGATGCTAAAATTGAATTAATGAACTGCTTTGTTTCTAAACAGTTGAAAAAGCAGATTGTTTTCATAACATAATACATGAGGTATTAACTCAGTTTGCCCCAAAACCTCGAATACCCCGAGTACCCGCAAAACCCATGTAAAACCTCGGGGTTTTCAATATATGGGTATGGGTTTTCAATAGCAAAACCCCGGCTTACCCTGCTGGAGACCGGGTGTAAGTAGAATAGGGCAATAAATAGAGTATTTACGGTATGTAACACTTACCACGAGCCGATTTCAAGATTCCCCGAATCGAACAAAACCAAAACTTTTTTAAAAGATTTAGTTTCCTTGATAGATTTCAGCAAAATTAATGCGTCTTCCAGCTCGACCTCGTTGCGGACAAATGTTGCGTACGCTTCTTTTCCCATTTTCAGAATAGCTTCAACTTTTCGAATGTTTTTGTGAAAAATGTCCACGAGAATATTTTTCTGAGAGGGTTTTGAAGTTTATTATTTGAATGAATACAAGAATAGCCTTTTGTATCGAGCTTCTCCGCTATTTATTCAAAATTCCAAGGTTGAGAAACCGACCTTTGCACAGTACTTTTTAGAAGCCATGAAAATCCCCAAATCTTATTGGAAAACAATAAATTTAATAAAACTTATCAACCTTAAAGTGACAAGAAAGATTCATGTTCTTTTATATAAAAACTTACATGTTTACACTCTTAAAAATAACTTAACCCTTCTGCAAAGTTTGCAAATGCACTCTGAATTCTGTATTAAGCAAACTTCGCTAAATTCCATGTAAACTTTACCAAGTTTAAATACTCTGGATTTAGTATCGTTTATTGCAATGTGCATTTTCTTATTAAAAATGCTACATTATTTCTCAGAGTGGATATGTACATAGGCCAGGATTTAATATTTTTATTATGTGTTAATATTTAAGGTAGTCTATTAATTAACTTAATTTGTATTAAATTTGTAAGGGTTCCGAAATAATTTTTGCTCGCATGTGCGAATGGTGCACGAAATTCAGCAAAATTGCCAAATCGTATAGAAAGGTGGCATAAAGCCACGATCTATATGAAATGAGTGTCTCGTAGTTTCATGCAATATTCCAAACAAATGAAACACTGGAGACTACCTTAACGTCAAATTTTTAAGTAAAACTTTTAGTCACGGTCTCGTTAATTCGATGTCGGGGCGTAATTTGTAGTCTAATTAAAGTCTGGGGTTTCCATGGCCACTGGAAGTCGTTTAGTATACAAAGTAATGTATTTAGAAAGCAGGGGTTACATTTTATTTGGTTGTGTCACAAAAAATAATTTTCTTAGCTCATATGTAGATTAATATCTGAAATTCTGGATAGTCCTGCCCACCCTTCAAACATTTAAGGTTGGTGCGAGTGCAAATATATTTACAGTGGAAAACGCATATAAAAAAGTAGCTCGTCAGTCTCAATTCACCCCAACCATGCTCACGACAGTGTGGAACACTTGATTTCATTATATAAAATAAACTTCAGCAAAAAAAATCTCATATGTATCATCGCGAAAACCGATTTCGATAATTTCGATCTATTTTCCTGTTATCTTGATGACGGACATACATCCGGCTGTACGGACAGACGGACAAAGCCTTCACATAAAGAAGTTAGGTTGCGTAATAAATCATAAGTTCGTCTATAGTACAATGGGTGTGTCTGATTATGTTATACGTTATGCAAATACATAAAGTCGTAGAATTTCTTAATTAGTTGCTTAATTAGCCTAATCCCATGTCCACCTTTCCCTAATTAGTTCGACCCATAAAATTTGTGCAGGGGAGAAATAGAGAGTAAGAAAAAGGGTCTGTGGTATACCACGTGAAAAAATTACACCTTCATAACCGCTAATAGCCTTTTTCCAAAATAATGTCCTAAACTATTTCTAAGTTTCAAATTTTGTTCGCATACTTTTTTGCAACTTGTTTATTGTTTTATTCGATTAATTTTAATTCGTTTATTTTGTTAAATTCGTCTAACAATGTAGATGAATACATATGCATAAAAATGCTCACATTTATACATAGTAACATTTATGAACGGCCCCGTATTTATTTCCAAAACAAAAGAGTACACGAGCAGCATGCACTTGTTAATGATTTTTAATTTGCTTATCTCGACAAGTTTATCCAACAATGTATGTATTCCCATTTATGTATGCATACGTTGCATTCAATGTGCAAGCGATAAGAATAAAACATCACACCATCCAAAAAGGATGTACCTGAAACATAATTATACATAACTGCTTAAAGTTGCCAAGCGTAACTATGTATGAATCTTGCAACAAAGTATTTACGTAAGCAAATGTACGCCATGTTTTGCCGTTCGTCTTTTCAGTAAGGGAACGTTCATGAAATACGTTAGGTAAAAAACTCTGATTTTTCAGACACTCACTCCACCCATTCTTTTAATAAGTGTAGCAAATGGACTCTGTCAAGCAAATCGTTTACCCTCCCACCAATCTCAGTCGTGACATAATTTATGAACGTCCCCACCGTAAATGTTATGAAATTAAGACAGGTTTTTCAGTATTTATTTAAAGTCAGGGAACGTCCAGAAATTACGTGACGGAAAAACGACGATTTATTTTTCAGATCCTTCCTTTCCTCTTGTCACGTGTTACACCCACGTTTCCAAATGTTGCAAAAATGTTCGCGCAAAACTCTTACCCTTAACCATGACATAATTTATGGATATCCCCTCACCAAATATTACGCAATTCCGAATGGTTTTCCAGTCTTCATTTTATGTACATACGTTGGAGCTAATATTTATACTCTTATTTATTTAGTATCTACAGTTGTGCTTCTGGAGAAGATTTGGAAGGGAAAACATTCCTTTACAGACGCAACAAGAGTACGATTTTTCGCCATGTTGGCGGAGGTGGTGGTCTATCCGGAGGAGGGTGTTGCGAAAAACGCCCGGGCAAAATTGGCAATCGCATTTTGAATTTGCAGTCTACAAAAAAGAAACAAAATTGGTAAGCATACTTACGACAAAAATTTTACTTTTTCCAACTTGTTTTGAAAAATTTATAGTCAAACTAAGCGTACCCACGACAACGAATTATTTAGCAATTAGAAAATTGGCGAAGCTAAAAAAAATCTGTATAAATGTTGAGTGGATTCATAAATTTCAGTAATTTCTATGCTGGTGATGACTTTACGAAATAATTTTTCGAAATAAAACCGTGTCAAATTTCCTCAAAAAAATGATTTCCCAGCCACAGTTAAAATCCTTCCTGGAATACCATGGGATTTTCTGCTAAATTTCGTAGATAAAATTGTGAAATCTCGTAAAACTTGGCAAAAATTAATGATGCTATGTACATATACAAAATTTACGGACTTTGACGTGAGAGATATTTAAACTTAAGCAGGTTTTTTTACCGTTTTAGGGGAGTCACACCCCTCCAAATGCGTCACCCAGTCAGCCTCCGAGTCAATCTTGACTTCGCATCCGTACGGACAGGACGTCTTGTCCGGGAAATGGACCCGCTCCACGTGTTCAGGGATGCATGACTTTCTTGGGAAGGTCTTTGAGCACACGTCACAAGGAAATCGTGGCATCTGCTTCGGCGGTCTGGGCGGCATTGGGGCATTGTGACATTCCTTCATGTGGCTTTGCAGCGCACCCACGCGCCTAAACACGCCCGGGCATAGAGTGCAATTCTGCATAATTCCGCCATGTCGCCTGTTTGTGTGTTGAAGTAAGGCCGTCAAAGTCGTGAAACGCTCGTCGCATTCCAGACAAGAAACCGTTTTCGGATTTGGAGGGTCGCATCTGTAAAAAATAGGGATTTTATGTACGTGTAAGGCTCTGTCCGTAAACTTCGTAACGATGGGTAAAATTTGTAAGATAGGATTTTTCCCTAGCGTTGTAAAGTTTACGAATAACGCCTGAATAACGAATGAACTAAATTACCAATAATGCCAAAAACTTTAAAACAGTTGGATATTCGCCTTGAATATCGCTAAAAATTGATTTTTACTCACCTTTCTCCCGACTTTTTTGCGGCTATGAATAAAATTGTTAGATATGTATGCATAAATAAGTAATTTTTCAGCGCTACATATTTTTTAAGTACTTAATCTCACCGGAAATAATGGGAGCCGTAGTAACGTGATGTAAATCGTTCATATGATCAAGGTGAGTGTCATGCGTGGCAAATGTGACGTTAGGTTGACATATTTCGCACAAATATTCTGATTCAGCTGGAAAATTGGAATTTGCAAGAGCCGAGTCGTCCTCACCTTCAAACGCGGTTGGCTTCGTGGAGGCAGAATTAGGCGGGATGTTGACGCAGCCAGCGACCTCTCCGCAGGATTTATCGACTTCTCCACCGTAACTATCGACTTCTACGCAGTTATCGACCTCTTTTCCGCAGTTATCGACTTCTCCACTGTTATCGACTTCCTCGTAGGTTGGCTCAATTTTTACAGAGAATTCCTCTTCCTCCTCAACGAATCCAGTTAATTCTTGGTCGTCGTCATTGTTGGGAGCAGGAGAGCTAACCTCTCTTTTTATTATTCCGTGGGGAAATTCTATATTAAATAATTAAATGTGCTTATTATTTACTATAATTCAAATTTTACAATATTGCACAATCGAGTACGTAGCTTATTATTTACCACAAATTTTTCCCAATTCATTTCCCACTTTATTGAACAGTCCGTTCCTGCTGGAAATCACGGCACGGAGAGAAATGGTAATATTTTCAATCTGCATGGACAACTTGGCCAAGGTGTGGATCGCGGAAGTGCAAAATTTGCAACAAAATATTGCCGGATGATCTTCAGTTTGTAAAATGAGGGAAATTTGATCCTGATTTAGGACGAATTTGGCAAGAATTTCCATCTGTTGGACGGCGAGAGGACGCAGATTTGTCGATTCGGCGCAGATCGAACAGGACGATGTTAATAATTCTGGGGATGAGTTATTCTTCTCAAATTTCAGGGGAAAGTTGTGATTCGTATGGGGAATAAAATTTGACGTGTCGAGCAAAACCCGGGAGGAAAGTAAATCCTGCAAAATGTGCCCCGTCCCGTTTTTCAGAGAGCTGCAAAATCCGTCTGGTTTTAACATTTTGCCGGAAAAACAATATAAAATGTTTTTAAATAAAATGTTGTGCATGCATATTTCACATTTATTGCAATGTAAAATGAATTGTTGATTTGAACCTAGTATCCGTTTCGTTTAATCCAACACGTGATGAAATTTTGTATATATCAAAATTCGGATTGGTGACAGCAAATTGAGCAAAATTTAATTTTCATCGGATTTTACTCAAGTCTGTAGACTTATTTTGCTTTTGTGAGCTGCTGATTTGATCGTGTTTTGTAGTTAGAAGGCCCTCAAGGGTCGCCTGAGGGAATGTAGTTCATATTTTGTTCCACTTTCTCCTCGGGTACCTTTTTCATACGAGTTTACACATATAGCCTTGGGGAATGTAGTCTGCGACTGGGTATATACATCTAAACTATATAAAGCAGGCGAGTGTATCGCTGCTGGGTCGGTGGCTTAGTTGAGAAGTTAGCCTCTCCTTTGCTCTCTCAACTCTGCAGAGAGGACAGGAGAGGCTAACTTCACTAATGTTGGGGTAACGGGCTTACCTACGGGCCTATTTCGCACGTCGATTGATGGGCTTCTACACTAGTAAATAAATAAATCATACAACGCTCCTGAACGGCATACTTGCACAAGTTTATATTTCTGCAGTTACATACATGTACACATTACAAAATCCATTTTCCAAATTTGCAAAGTATCTACATACATATGTACATATGTATGTAATTTATACTTAAGGCTCAAAAATTGAAACTTTCATTTGAATTAAAATATCCCGATCTTTCATAAATAAGTTGGGCATTTGTTGGCAACCCTATGTTGGTTAGTAAAACAACATATTAAATGTTCTGTATTTGATCATAGTTCCATCATCATCATTAAATAAAACATTTGCATGCATGCAGACACGATACCTCCCGTTCCAGCTTTACCTCATGTAAAAGCTAAACTCACACGCGAACAAAGGGTTAATATCATCCACAACGTTTGCATCCGTCTCCAGGACGAGGCAGGATTAAGATGAGAAGTGCTATTCTGAAGGATAAAACATGAACCGTTAGGCTGCAAAATTATTTAGCGGCAGTATGACAAAATATGTTTTTAACTGATTATTTAGTTATCTCAATATGCAAAAAATTGGCAAATACTGTAGAGCATCCAATGGGTATGTGTACATGTTGTGCTTCGTTAATGAGCGTCCTTCGGGTTTTTGCGAGTTTTCTCGACTCAACCCGGGTATTTGCCACTTTCTCTTTCTCTGCAGTAACCTTGGTTTGCTCACTTTCTCCACAACTTACATTCATTCCCAGTTAAATTACGTTACATTGCTACTGGTTGCATGCTGTGCTGCAGAAGTATGCAACTGACTTTCTCGGTTCCTGAAAGGAAAAGAATGGCAGTAGAAAGTGAGGCGGTATTTCGTTCCGCAGTGGAACTTCTAGTGCGTCCAATATTTTTAACAAATTAAGAATTTAATTCATAAAGCTAAATTAAATCAAAATGGGTTCAACCATTTCCATCGTGAACGAAACCAACTGCATTCTCAACATTGCTTTGAAGCAGGTCACCCCACTCTACTACGAGAACAAGGTAATAAGTTATCCAGTTTTATGTAGATTATTCATGTAATGTATCCAGTTGAGAAAAAACTTTTTGGTTTAAACGTCACCACAAATTTGCAGAATTTGAATCACCAACTTTACAGAAATTTTGGCTAGGCTAAATTTTAAAGATTCTACTTTTATTTCAGGTTATGCCTGGCCAGGTTGTCAAGCGGTGAGAAAAAAACTATAATACACACTTAAAATGATGTTAGCCCTAAAATGCAGTCGCAATGCCATATATTTTGCTAACTATATATACTAAATCCAGAGTAACGCTGACAATGCAAGTCTTTTACGTGTACAATTCACAAGGGACACTCACGACCTGTCGTTTGAGTCCAGGGCACCCACTATGTTTTTTAGAATCTACTAAGACCCCAGATCAAGGATTCATTCTTATTTCCGTGTAAAACTTATATTTGGCGCCATGGCGTGGCGCCAAACTTAAAAATTTGCATTTTCGACCAATTTCAAACCCCCATAACTTTTGCAGTTTATGTCGGATTTTCACAATTTTATGCTTTAAATGATCAGAAAAGTCGAAATTTAAGAGAAAAAAATAAAAATAAAAAAATTTTAATTTTTGAGATATTTTTAGCATTTTTTCGACGAACCCGAAATTTCGAAATTTTGCGAAAAGTTAAAAGCGATAATTTTGGAAAAAATTTCATAGAATACTAAAGTTGAACTCCTTGTCATGATTTTTGTCAAAAGTTTTGAAAATCTGTCCAGGATTTCAAAAGCTATGGCGGTTTAAAAATGAAAAACCATTAAATTTGGCGAATTTGGCGCCACGGCACAACGCCAAATATGAGTTTAACACGGAAATATGAATGAATCCTTCATCTGGGGTCCTAGTAGATTCTAAAAAAACATAGTGGGTACCTTGGACTCAAACGACAGGTCGTGAGTGTCCCTTGTCAGATCTGGCTGGGACCAATTTTATTTTGTTCACCACAAAAAATAAGCATACCCGTATTTTTTCATTTTTCATAATGCGCTAATTTGAGCGCGAGGCGCGAATTTTAAAACATTTTTCAGCCAAAACCTCGGTTTTTAAAAAAACCGTAAATTTTCGAATTTTAGCGCGAATCCAAAAATTCGAAAACATATTTCTTCAGAATGATTTACTTGACTTATGAAAAATTCAAATATCTCGAAATTTGAATTTCAAAATTTTTTGCTAGTTTTTGAAATTCATTTAAATTATGAACTTTTTCAAATTTGTACTTTTTCAAAAAATAATGTATTTGGATTTTTCATAAGTCAAGTAAATCATTCTGAAGAGACATGTTTTCGAATTTTTGGATTCGCGCTAAAATTCGAAAATTTACAGAATTATTAAAAACCAAGGTTTTGGCTGAAAAATGTTTTAAAATTCGCGCCTCGCGCTCAAATTAGCGCATTATGAAAAATGAAAAAATACGGGTATGCTTATTTTTTGTGGTGAACAAAATAAAATCGGTCCCAACCAGATCTGAGTTGTACACGTAAAAGACTTGCATTGTGAGTTGATAAAGTTTACTCTGTATCTTTTAAATTTTACTTAATTTACATATTTCTAAAATTGGTAACATAATGTTCAAAAGTTATCTTTCCTGCAACAGGTGACGGTGATTTGGTAAAGAGCAAAGTTTAGCCTGAATTTAGTATAGTTGAAGTACATATTTAGCATAATTCAGCGTGCATTTAAATTGTTTTCGAAAGATTGACACCATTTCTAAGAGTGTGTCCTCTTTTTCCTTTTCCGCAGTGAAGTAGGAAAAATTTGGTTCACCGTCGAGGCCACACTTTGGTCCGGGTTTAACGACTACGACGATGTCTTGAAGGACTTGTCCCTTTCTACGGCTCCGAAGAAGGCGTTTGGCGCCTTCTTTGAAAGGACCGCGATGTTTAAGGAGATCTCGGAAGCAGCTACGGACTTTATGATTGAGCACAATACCTTGGAGGCGGACGAAAAAAGCGAAGATCCCATCGCCATGAGAAACGTTCTACTTCCGCCGGGAACTTCGGGAGAAAACCAAAAAATTGTGGCCGATTGGATCACAAAGTTTGTCGTGCAGGAACACGGAGTATACGCAAGTGCGGACAAAGTCATAAAAATTGTGGGTGGTCCGTCCGCAGTTATAGATCTGAATGGGGGCGAAACAGGAGAAGGGTCACAACTCTTGGAAAATGTTAAGCCATTCAGTATCATTCTATGTTAAAATATTTACAAGTGTTCCATCAGTTTTGATCATAATTAATAAAAATCTCAATCCCAAATCTTGTAGCTAATGGGGATTTTGGGACTTTTGCTTTCGAAAAATTTTCCTTGTAGCGTGACATTTACGTGACATTTACTCTGTATGTATATTAACACAAGCAGGACCTTTGCTATATGTACATATATACAAGTCACTACGTTTTCTGTGAACACTCCATTTTCCACTTTTTAGCGACTTCATCTGTGAACGACCTGTTTTGTGGCACGAGCTTATATGTACGTCTCTAAAGAGATGATAATTAATTAATTTCATACAAATGCTTCCGATATTTTCTCGAAGTGACCAAAATTAAGAATGATTGATCCAACTCAATAACAATTTATAATTTTCAATTCAATTTTATTTCTTCAAACGGTGACCGTAACCTACATCTCTAAATTAATATATGTACACACTTACATTTGTCCTTCATTAGTTACCGATCGGCATCTAATAAAGGAACATATATTTATAGGAATATGCATTAATATCGTAATGATATTCATAATTTTTGAAATATGTAGATTCGTTATGCAGATATGTAGATATGTTCAGATGCACAGGATAGAAATAATGAAAGTCTTGTTATGCTTAACAATTTTAAGAACAGATGTTATCCTGAATCGTTACTTAATGATACTAACAATAGGTTGGAATTATTAGATAATTACAGTGTACTACAGCCAAAGAAAGCATTAACTATAAGTAATTTTATTATTCATCATCCCGAAATACTGCACAATTATTACGTCAAAACCGAAACTAATTCTTTATTAGTAAATACCAATACAAATTCCTACATTGTAATGCCATTTTATAAAGCATTATCCAGATTAGGTAGTATCACCATCGAGTTCATTCGTAAGGAGGGAGAAAAAAGCTCCCATTTAGGACACAAAGAGATTTTAACCAAAATGAAGATTCACACAAGCTACAGTAAAGTTGGCAGCATTTATAACTACATAGTGAAACAGAAGCAGAATAATCAGTGATTGCCTCTCTGTCCTCACCATTACTTACATATAAACCCGTATATATGTATACATATATAAAATAGGTAGTTTTTTGACAACGTACTGAAGTAAAATTCAAAAAATTGAAAATACAATGTAAAATCAGGTAAATATATTTGTACTTGTAATAGCGATTAATCATAAAATATGTAACATAGATTAATACTTTTATTCTGTAACTTCACAAGTAATTTTAGCTCCGAACAGTAGAAGTGGATAACTTACGTCACTAACGTCGTATTTATATCATTATTATTATAAGGTAAATAGCTATATACTAGTCTTGATTGGTTACTTATATTTGTAATTTGTACCATCTATATTATAATTTCGAAAAGTCCGTCCCGTGAAATTTTCCGTGACATCCCAGCATTCTGATTGGCTGCCAGCTTCCTGTCTCCACCAATCAGGGAATAGATCCAATGTCTCAATATGATTATGATTATGACTATGGTTATGAATATGGTTATGAATATGGTGATGAATATGGTTATGCATATGATTCTCAATATGACTATGAATATGATTATGAATTTGATTATGAATATGATTATGGATATGATTATGAATATGATTATGAATATGATTATACAATTTATTACAATTTTGGGAACTATCCCACTATATCTCTTATCTAAGCATTATCAGACTTATCTAGCATTACATATATTAGCTAATAGATAACAGCTTTCAACAGCTTTCTACAATTCAAGCGAAAAGTGTAGTGCATTTTTTCAGCGCAAAAATCAACCTGGATTAAGTATTGGGTACTAAATTTATCTTCTAATTGGCATATACATAATTTGTGACTGGGTCGTTTTTTCAGAATATTTTCTATGTTAGCAGAAAAATTTGGCAAACGAGTAAACCGTAGTTCCCAAAGTATTGACAGGAATGCATATTTTCTAAAAAAAAATTGAATTTCTTCTTGCATACTTTTTCTGGAACATGACGATCGGGTCGGTCAAATCGATCGCCTTTCCTTTTTCCTTGACCAGGACGTGTTTTCTGACCATGGCCCAACCCATGTGGGCAGGCTGTCTCTAGGACTCGAGCATACTGCAAGAAGGAAATACCCTAGTGCAGGGGCGGATCTTCAGAAAACGTGTCTCAAAACACGTGTTGGGGCATGCACATGCTGTATGATTTGTTGAGGTTTTTTTTGAAAATTTATATAAAATATCAACTTGTCGGAAAATATTGATTTAAGGCCCCAGGTCATCAATTTCCAGGTCATAGTTCACAAGGATAAAAAATTTACCCATTTATCCCCTTTAAAACCTTAGTAGTTTTGATTTTTGTTAAATTAATGAATTGGGGATGACTTGAGGCCTTAAATCAATATTTTCCAACCAGTTATTATTTTATATAAATTTTCGAAAAAAAAACCTCAAAAATTCATACAGCATGTGCATGCCCCACCACGTGTTTTGAGACATGTTTTCTGAAGATCCGCCCCTGCACTACGGTATTTCCTTCTTGCAGTATGCTCGAGTCCTAGAGACAGCCTGCATGTGGGAGAAGAAGAAGCCGCGCTCGGCGTTATACGGGTCCGCGTGCGTCTCGGAGTACTTGTGGTTAACCCTGTGATCTCTCGCCCACTCGTAGATGCATTTCTGTAAGGCACAATTCCCTTGGCCAAACAATTAATTATGTACACACATATTTGCCTTGACTAACGTTTTTATGTATTTTATAATACACACGTGTGTCCGGCAAAAAAATGTCTCAAGATATTTGACAAGATATACATACTTAGGATACTTCTTTCAAAATTCTGGCAAACCAGGTCAATTTCTTACAAATGTCAGTCACTGTGACCAACAGCTTGTCGAAGCCAGAGTTTTGTTCATTTTTACTTTACGCTTTTTCAAATTAGGAACACATCTATGTATGCAATACATACATATGTTCAAACATTTGTTTAGTACCTAAAATACATACTTTCGTAGTACATATATATTTACATATGCATGTATGTATGTATTAATAACGTGGTCATCCGTAAAACCTCAATTTATAGTCCTATTCTAATTATAGCCGGTCTCCAAATATAGCCGGGTGTAGGGACCAAGATTTCTAAATTTTAGCCGGGTCTCTAATTATGGCCTGTCTTGTTCGCTGTGTCCCCGTTCATCACCCGTTCAAGAAAATGCTGTACATTTGGTGAATGCACGAATGAGGTCAAAATTTACAAAACTTTTAATTTTATTCGACCAAGAATGCATTTAATCATGACAAAAAGTCATTTTATCATATTAAAAATTAGCGCGGAACAAAATTTGGCTGGGTCTCTAATTATAGTCGGGTCTGTGACGCCCAGTTTTGGATTTTAGCCCCGGCTATAAATAGAGTATTTACGGTACATAAATGTGTTTGGTTATTACAATTATATTCCTGTGCAATTTCAGTCCATTGCTGCAATTCAAATGCAGTGCAAATTTAACAAATTAGCTCAGCTTGTTTCTAAACCCATTTCGTCTTCTTCTCCCCCTCCATTAATCTCGCCAATTTCATCAATCTCACTTATGATGTTGTTAATTACACCTTCCAGTTCCTCTGGTCCAGAGAAGAGGGTCTTATCTGCCGCTATGGCAAGCCCCATTTTTCCATTATAACTAATACTCACTACTCCAATGGAGTTCGATCTCTGCAGTAAACCAATAATTGGCACGATTCGCTCAACCGGATTTCCGCATAATTCGTATCGATCCTCCTTAAAAGTGGAAAAGTTGGAATGCATTATAGTTCCATAATTCTGAGGAAAACAGTACTTCCGGAACGTTCCACTGAGGAGTAGTCCCATGACTGTGAAATGAGAGAAATCCGAGGAGAAGAGGGGAGTTGAAAAGGTGGCGGAATTGGTGTGAAATTTGGGCCAATCTTTGATTAATTTTCTTCTCCGATATTGGCATTTTCAGAACAGACATGTTTTAATTGGTAGCTTTGTAAGAATGAAAATCTGGCAGCGTATACGAAATAAATTTGCTAACAGTTGGTAACAAATTATTCCCATGGTGGTCACCGCTAACACGTAATGCAGGTTATTAAAGGGTGTTGATTTAATTCGTCCCGATTTTTCCTAAATATTTGACACCTTATGTATAGCTCAAAGGCATTGAAATCTTGGATTCTATTGTTAAATGCTAATGATAAATACTCATGATTAGGATTTAACTATCATCGTTCTGCCGTTCACATAAAAATTTTAACATGTTTCAAAGCTATGCTTAAATGTGATTTTGTGACCCCAGAAAGGAATAATCGCGACAAATTAAATCAACACCCTTTACATTAAAGTGTAAGTAGCTCAATCTAAATAGTGCTCTGCACATACAAATTATTCGTCAAGTTTCCCGGGTGACTGAATACACTGGGTAGAACATACAATGATGTCGCGTCTTGGTTTAAATTTGCCCCTCTTTCCTTCACAATTCTTCTCACGGCACCGGTCACCCCGGCGAACACGATGGACGTGATATTAGTCCCGCTACGGCGGGAAATCCGTTTCAGGGTGGCCATATCCAGGGCGACTAGATTTTGACACCGCACCATTTCCCCGCTCGGAAGCTGGACGCTGAGCGGGTTGGAGTCGAACCCTTTCAAGACACGAAATATGCTTTCCGTCGGAGTAACGAATATCAATTGGAAGCAGGTCCACAGGTTCTAAAACGATTTTGAAGGCTTCGAAGGTTTAAAATGTTCCCTACATATGTACATGTACAGGAAGGTTTAAATGTCACGCTACATGCAATAGAAAATTTCTAAATGGGAATAATTCGTAAATTTTCATTAGTTACCAAAATTTTTAGAATTTATCGAATAGTTTTGTCAAAACTGATGAATCACTGATGACAAAATTCTTAAAATATTGAATTTGACACGCAAAATTTCGATAACTAATAGAAATTTACAAATTTTCCATTGAAGCGTGACATTTAAACCACCCCTGTACATAAAATGTTGGTTTGTAGTTGGGGCACGGACAGGGGGACGTTTTGTAAAGCTACACCAGGATTGTAAAAATAATTTTCATCCGATCGGATAAGTCCACTGTTCGGATTATCCGAGTCGGATAATTTCAGTGTTTCGCTTGGCAAAAACCAGATTGGCCAGACCGCCGGTCAAAAGCGGCCAAAAGTGGCTTTTGACCACCTGCCAAAATAGGTGGCAAATGGTCAAAAGTGGCCAAAATGGTCAAAATGCAAAAATGGGGAATTTTGCGACATGGAATAATGATAAGTTAATGATTTTACTAAGGACATTCAGGATTTCATCATGATCTAGCAGAACAAGTTGTAGGCTACTTATCGCTGCTTGATTGGATCTAAAATTTTAAAATTGGTTATTAACGCTACAAGTAAGGAATAAATTACAAATTGCATCATTAATAATTGACACAGGAACAATTAATAATTGACACAGGAACAATTAATAATTGACAGGAATAGTTACGACTTGACCAATGAGCCATTTAAATATTCAAGTATCAAGCAAATGTATACATTACTTACTATACATGTCCAAGTTGAATTTATTAGATTGGTAATTATTACAGACTATTTTAATTACTTTGTAAGAACTATGATTATTCTTTGTGCAAAGAATAAATAATACCGGCCGAGAGTCTGTTTATACCCGTCGGGCAGACCATTAGCCAATAGAATAATTTTGACCACTTTTGACCACTTTCTACCATTTTGGCCATTTTCGACCACTTTTGACCACTTTTTACCACTGGCCAACAAAAAACGATTTTAGCCGGCAAAAGCGAAACACTGGATAATTTCAGAAATATTATCCTATCCGATATCCGTCGGATATCCGACGGATAGGATAGGATAATCAAATTAATTAGCAAAATAAATACAAAAATTTCATATAATGCCAACAATTTTCGGCTATTTAATCTATGCTCTCTTAAAATTATGGTGTACTGACCACTACTATCGTTCATCCAGAAAGTACTGAGCAAGGGAATTCTCGGGAGGTGAAATGGCCGACCTCTCCATAAGCTATAACATGTAAAGTTTCGAAATTAATTGCACGGTCAGTTCTTGATGGATTTTCAAAATGGCGCCCGTTTTGGAAACCCTGGACCTTTGGGAGAAATATATATTTTCAGATTTTTCAAATTCGGCCCCACCCAACCCTGGAAAATCTTACAAAATTTTCGAAGTGTACTACTAACACGTTAGTAGTGTACTAGTGTGAAAAGTAGTATTTCTTGGCTAAAAATTCAGTTTACGGCCATGTAAGAGTGCGGAACAATGCACCCGTGGTGGTCCATATTTTCCTAACGACAGAATTTTTTAGACTCATTCTTGCCACTTATGGCCACAAATGAATGGTCCTACGAATGTTTCCAACGCATGGAACTTTGGTGTGTAAATGGGTACAAAAGTAAATCTCTAAGCTGAGGAGTCACCGTTAGACATCCCCGAAGCATGAGCTTCATAATTTGTCGTAAGACTGGCTTATTGCGTTGGGTTTAGACTTACATATGTAGGAGGTGGATACTACTGTGAAGTCCTTCCTAAGATGCTTCTACAAACTTTTTACATAAATATTTATATCCGACGCTGTGAAGCGTACTATTATCCAAATCACAAATCAGAGGTCCTGAAGCTTGTGAGGACCTACACGCCAGCATTTACATTTTCATTTAAAAAATTGACACAATTCTTTTTGCTTCCGTAAATTGCAAAATTT